GTGTGTCTAAAACGATATTTAGATAGCCAAGATACTGATCCTGATCAAAGTAGTTCACAACTACGCGTTTCTAAAACGATATTTAGATACCCAAGATACTGATCCTCATCACAGTAGTTCAGGACTGCGCGTTTCGAAAACAAATGTGTTAAAAACAAAAATCAAAGGGCTTATAAATGAAAGAAAACTGAAGAAGCAGGGCTGAAACTTTGTGAGCAGGTTTATCCGAGCAGGAGTCGGCACGAAAACACCCCATGTTGGGGTCTTCGATGTGTTGCCATGGAAATGGTTATGGTTCGTTCTGTTGCAATATACCCAAAATTCTACCAAAAATACACTCGAAATCTTTAAGGCTGGTTCTCTGGCGTATTTAAAGCGATCGAACTCAAAATTGCTGTCAAATAGTTAACTAAATAACTACAATTTTCGTGTAGGATAAGGTGAAAAAGTTAACACTTGCCAAGGGGCCTTGTCAAAACAGACCCAACTAACCGGCACAGTACTTAGGCGAATGAGCGTTGCGTGCCGACACTCAGAMTATTTAATGTTCACTTTAGGACCTTTCGGAAAAACAGTCTTCTTCAAAGCTGTTATATATCAATGTCAATGCAAATATCTTACGCCCTGAAGACCTTTGTAGGGACAGCTATGGAGGGTCAGAAACCGACAACATTGAAGGAAACTATAGACCCCTTGCAGGTGACGTCAAAGCAGCTCAATCTGGGAGACAAAACAAAAAATAATTCCAATCTTCTGAGAATTGGAACCTATTGTTTTGTCCCCCAGATTGATCTGCACTGCAAAGTCCTGCAAGGGGTCTATTACAGATCAGTAATCCGCACAACGGGTTGAAAACTTGACCGTTAACACTCATRTTAAAGCAACGAGCATGAAAAGTTCAATTATCCCTTACCTCTGCTAGGTTTGAAACAGTTTTTCTGGAGCTTCTCGATTGGTTCATTATATTTTAGCATCATTCTCCAACACTTGGTTTGTCTCTTGTCATATAGAGTGAAGATTGAAGACAAATGCTTCATCTAAAACACTGTGAAACAAAAAATTGATTTTCAAGGTGTTAAGATGGTTTTAGGCCACATATCACATGCGAAGCTAAAGATCGAAGTTGTATATGGCCTTTAATTTGCACACTGATAATGATAAAACTGACGGTTTCTTCAAGGATGCGTGCGCATCCAACTTGACTGGCCACAAAAATTGAAA